CTAACAAGAGGGCGTGGTAATGAGGACAACATGAGGAGGGGCTAAAGAAGCACATGGCTGAGAAAAACAATCAACTAGGCCATGTGCTGACACAAGACAACATAGACACAAGAAACAAACACAAGACAACCAGAGTGTCAGGGCAAAACCCTGACAATTTAGATAATAGAAATGAAGTATCAAAATATTAGATACCTGAATAAATAGTAAATAAACTATTTCTAACAAAGTGCAAAGCAACAAGTAGAAAAAAAGAGAACTGCACAAAGAACTTTAGCCTATGCACATTTGTCCGAAAGCCTGGCAAGAGTGATCACAAGATGCTATGCTAAAGTTTTGTGTTGTTTACAGAAAGGATGCATGTTCTCATCTTTTTTTCTGTTAATTATTACGTTTTGCTGCGTGCCTGTTTTTCTTCAAAGCACCAACTTAGAATGCCTAATTTTGGTTTGATTGCTTGTGTTACATGAGAAAAGTTTACCAAACAGGACCCGTGCAGGACTCTGCTTTAAACTGCTTTGCATCTCTCCGTCAGATAACCTCACGTGCGCGATGCGCCATTTACAGGTATTTCCCTAAACCCCGGCGCCACAGAGCTCATATATTTTTCCGCCAAGGGGTGACAACGTAATGATTACTAAAACGATTATTTATTTTTGATTATTTTATTTCAGTTAGTTTTTCAATAACTGTTGTTAGTTTCATTTCGTTTTAGTTTTTGAATTATTTTGCCATTTTTATTTTATTTCAGTTAACAAAATTGTTTTTTCATCAATCGTTTTCGTCTTAGTTTTCGTTTACGAAAATAACCTTGGATGGCACCGTGAATGACTGCCTCAGTTTGGAGCTCGTCAGTATGTTTTTGTTTGCTTGTCCCATTTTAAGTAACTTTTTCCTGATTAATTTTACTATAGACAAATTCCTAGACATCAGACACAACACACCAAACAACCTTTTGCTGACATTTGAGCATTCAGAGTTTTTACTGGATATTGTAGTTGGAGAAGTCACAATCCTGTACAAACGCTCCAAGAGATGCCAATGAGGGAAGCATACTGGCACACTAAATAAAGCTCATATATTTTTCCGCCAAGGGGTGACAACGTAATGATTACTAAAACGATTATTTATTTTTGATTATTTTATTTCAGTTAGTTTTTCAATAACTGTTGTTAGTTTCATTTCGTTTTAGTTTTTGAATTATTTTGCCATTTTTATTTTATTTCAGTTAACAAAATTGTTTTTTCATCAATCGTTTTCGTCTTAGTTTTCGTTTACGAAAATAACCTTGGATGGCACCGTGAATGACTGCCTCAGTTTGGAGCTCGTCAGTATGTTTTTGTTTGCTTGTCCCATTTTAAGTAACTTTTTCCTGATTAATTTTACTATAGACAAATTCCTAGACATCAGACACAACACACCAAACAACCTTTTGCTGACATTTGAGCATTCAGAGTTTTTACTGGATATTGTAGTTGGAGAAGTCACAATCCTGTACAAACGCTCCAAGAGATGCCAATGAGGGAAGCATACTGGCACACTAAATAATAATAATTCCTTACATTTTATATAGCGCTTTACATAGAAGGGAGAAATCTCCTAAACCACCACCAGTGTGCAGCATCCACCTGGATGATGCAACGGCAGCCATATTGTGCCAGAACACCCACCACACACCAGCTTATTGGTGGAGAGGAGACAGAGTGATGAAGCCAATAAGCAGATATGGGGATGGTTAGGAGGCCATGATGAAACTTCTGGCACTGGTGAAATTCTGACAATGTGGGTTTAGGACGCCACTGCCGAGTATTCATCTGGCGAATCTCCGCTCCCTTGCCAACAAAAGAAACTAACTATTATTCCTCAGTGGCTCCGTAGAACACGTTATTTGTTTTCTGTGCCTTTCCGAATTCGGATTCACTATTCGGGCACATCCCTAACATACAGTACATAATGCACACATCTGTACATAAACCGTCATATCTAATGTAAGTTACTTTATTGTTTTTTTTTCTTCATTTTTACTTTTTAAATATTCTATGTTCTTCTTTCTCTCATGTTATATAGGCCTACAGTATGTATATATTTATGTATTTACTCCTGGAAAACACAACAAATTCCTTGTGTGTTTGTGCACACTTGGCGAATAAAGTTCATTCTGTTTCTGATTCTGAACTTATCAAACATTTGAAGGCTTAAACATTTGAAGGATAAATGATCAGGAATAAGCCAGTATGTCTTGACTGAATGTACACTAATGTACAATTATTAACTGAATGTACACTAAATGCCTTTTAGGGTAACACTTTATTTTAATAGTCCACTTTAGACATTCTATTAACTGTAAGTAACTTTGCAAGTATTTGTCAGTGAAGTCTCATTAGATTATTAGTAGACTGTTTGGTTATGGTTAGGGTAAGTTGACAAGTAAGTTTAAGTTAAGCAAGTTGGCATACTTGCAAAGGTACTCATTGTCAGCATAATGTCTAAAGTGGACTATTGAAATAAAGATTACATTTCTGTGATATAGTAAATTGAACAATATGAATTATGTTCAAATAGTGGGCATCATTTTGACAGTCACCACTGATAAATGTAATGTTTTAATCTTATTTGTACGGTATAAACATTCATATTCTGTGAAGCTGCTTTAAAACAATGTTTATCTTGAAAAACGCTATAGATATATAAACATGAATAATGCTGGTTTTACATTTTTTGAGTAATAAACTGCTAAAATTGTGTAAAAAAACAACAATTTGACCCCCTGTTCTAAAGTGAAAAGTATATCCAGATTAATTAATGATTTGTATTGCACTTATTGAGTGATGTTCAAGTTAATTCACCAGAATAAGCCAGTAATTATGGCTAGTAGCCAATAAAACTAAAGATAATTTATTTTATGTTTATGCATAAATACCACACAAATAATGGCTAATATTCTTTCACCATATATGTTCAGTTAACCTTGATTAGCTGGTTCAGGTGTGTTACCTGGGGTTAAAGCTAAACTCCGCAGAATTTTGTCCCTCCAGAGGCCGGTTGCACCAGCCATTTTAAGATGTAACTTAGCCTAGTTGTAACTTACACTACTAAATTTGTTTGCGTTGCAGCATTAAACTTGAAATGTAACTATGTATAAACTAAAATAGCAGATTGACTGAATTGCATCAACAAGCCCTTTTTTTCTGACAGTCTTCAATCCTTTAGATATATATATGATCATGTTTTCTGTTACAGTTGTTTACATTTTAAGAGAGAGAACATTATGTGAACAAACTACTTTCAGCTCAAACTACAGTAGTAGTCATTAAGCCTCTAGTGTGGACTTTACAGCACAGTATAAGTAAAAACTTGTGAACAGCTTGTGCAAACCTACCCAGGAGCAGGATTGGACATTGTTACCCTAAAACAGTGGTTCTCAAACCTCTCCATGAAGTACCCCCAGCACTGCACATTTTGTGTGTCTTCCCTAATCTGACACACCCTCTTCAGGTCTTGCAGTCTCCACTAATGAGCTGATGAGTTGAATCAGGTGTGATAGATGAGGGCGACATACAAAATGTGCAGGGCTTAGGGTACTCCAGGACATGTTTGAGAACCACTGCCCTAAAGGAAGTCAAAAGTTTAGGAAGTCCTGAAGTTTAGTTCTGGCCCACTTGCATTCAATGAATCCTGAATAACTTAATGAACTGGTTCAGGTGTATTTAATTGACATCCCTGCTAGTCATGCTCAATGGGGCTTCCAAACATTTCAATAACCAAAAGACTTCGATTACATATGATGCTGTTTGAGTACTTTTTTCATTATTGGACGGACCGTGCATTGACAAAACATATAAACTGTTATTATTACTACTATATCTACTTGTAAATCTATATGTATATAAGATTCAAATATCACAAATATATCACTAATCAGCATTGGCTATCTTCAATGGGTTCATTAAATAAATCTGGAAGTGATTGTATAATTTGCACACTGATGACAGGGCATACATTCCACCTTGATGGTGAGTCTGTAGGATTTGCATGTTCTATGTCAACACTCAGTGAGAGTGATAAATAAAAGTGCTCAACCATCCTTAAACTTCAAATTGGCACACATCAGAGCAGAGCAGAGATGATTCTCACTGTATTTTTCCTGTTTGTCCTTTATAGAGAAACAACAGGTACAGTCAGAATGCATGTTTATGTGACTACTCCAATGACCTGCAAAGAAGCTCGAAAGTATTGCCAAACATATCATACAGACCTGTCTACAATCACCGGTGTGGAGGATGTCCAGATGGTACAAATAGCAGCTGGAGGAGCTTACAATCAGAGTTGGTTTAGCTCGCTGATTCAGGAAAATGAAGACTCGTGCACGTTAATGAAGAATGAGGAATCCAGAATCCAATTTCTGGGGTTTGCATTGTGTGAGTTTCCTACTTGGCTGTGTACAAGTAAGCATCCTTTCTTCTGCTATAATAACCTGAATCTGGTGCAAGAGAAAAAGACATGGGAGGACGCTCTAGAGTACTGTCAGTCACGCAAAACTGATCTGGCCTACATAGATCCTAAGGTGCTACCAAACATGAGTAATGCCCAGACCGACAGTGTGTGGACAGGCCTGCGTTTCCTGGCTGGAATGTGGTTCTGGGTCAGCAAGGAGAATGTTGTGGCTAACATTGCTCTCCCCTCATGCCCACCTGAGCCGTATCGTTGTGGAGCCCGCAATGCCAAGACAGGGAATTGGGAGAACAGAGACTGTGAGGAGAAGCTGAATTTTCTTTGTTTTTAAAGAGAAAGACAAGTGATGAAGCATCACGTGAGTATTGTTTTCAATTCATTAGCAAATTATGGTTTACTTTGAATGCATTTTGACAACCCCCCCCCCCCCCCCAAAAAAAATGTAAAAGCACTTAAAAGTGTGTAATGCACCATGGACGTTAGTTACTCTGACCACAAGTTACATCTTTCTTAACAAAACACTGAATAAAAAGAGGTCTGCAGACAAGAGAAAGTGACTCCAAATATTTTGTCAAAATGTTTCTGAAAAATAGGTCAACAGACCTACATTTGCCACAGTTTTGAGAGTGAATTTGCAAAAACACAAACTTTTTTATATTTTCAGGTCTTTGTGCATGTTTTATGTATTTACAGTATATATTTGTTTCCCATTTTATTCTTTCTTTTTTATTATTAAAAGGTTTCCAATATGTTAAAACATGTTTAAAATTTAAATATGGGCAGTTGGGTAATGGCAAAATAATTATTTTGAAATTTAAAGTTATGAAATGTATGCACAAATGTTAAAATGTACACATTTTTATTTGGTTTTACAGCTCATTTCAGTTGAGGAATTTTATAAAATAGGTATTTTATTGTAAACACATAAATATACATATACAAAAATATTTACAGACACTGAAAACAAAATGTGTTACAACATTTTCTGATCTTCTCAATATGTAATAGGAGTCTTACATGTCGTCAACAGATGGATGAATCTGGGATTAAGGTGGTTTGGAGAGGCCTGGAATAAAACACAAATGAACTGTAATAATTTCTAATTCATGATGACTTCTGAGATTCTTTAGTGAGTAGCTGCTGCCCTTCATACCTTTCTAGTTGTTTGGCATCCATCACATCTCCAATAATTACCAAAGCCAACACCAGAGGTCACTATCTACTCTGGTATTAATAGTCATTCGCCATGATTACTTGTACACCTGCTCGCAATTCACATAAAAATCCTGCATATTTCCATGTTTTATAAGAATTTTCCAAGTTCACATCATGCTCTGTTTCTGTTTTTTTTTTAATACCATGTACTTTGTTGAATGTGGTTATTTTGCATGGATTTGTAGATTTATGGGATTTGCATTTTGTATTTGACTGTCATTTCAACTACACATAGATCTTAATGAAACCTTGAAGTCCATATGATAGAGATAATACGTTATAGATATAGACATAAAACTCATATTTAATTTAATGTTTAACAACAACAACAATGACTGCAATTATAATAATAATAATTATTATTATTATTATAAAATTAAATAAATCAGCAATTGGCATTTCTATGATCCCAATACAGCATTTGTCAGTCTCATTTAGATCAACTGAAATTTGTGGCTTAATAAAAACTGCAGAGTTTGCTGAAACAGTCATATATACTTATCAAACAAATCCTATGATTTTTAATGTCGTTTTAACATGTTGGTTCCTTTCAGAATGGAATGGGAGCAAGTAAAAATGAGTACATGCATGTAGGAAGGTGTAACACTCACTAGGGGGCGTAAGACAAACAGGCATGAGGCAGGTAGTACATCAAGGGCTTCAAAGAATGTTCAGACATGAATTAGTTTACACATCTCTCATTGATATTATTTTTTAGTATGATCATATTAATTAATTAGATTTACAGTTATAGGAAATTCAGTTTTAAAGATGCTTAGGCCATTAGGCTACATCAGACCAATGTTATTGAATTTTACCATACTTATTGTTTGTGGCACTGCAATGAGCAGTGATGTAAACATAAATAAATAAATAAATAGATTAATGTATAAATTAAAAATTCAAACAGTACTGCTTATTAACTATGATTTACATTACGCTTTAGCCTACTCATTGTTCATTTTGACTTCATCTGACAGAGTCATTGTTTCATCAATACTCTTTTTTTTTTGCATGTCTTTTGCATTTATAGTTATTACAGTTCAGCCTTTATTAGACTTTCTCCTAATACAGTAAAACATTTCTGTAGCTGTACAGATGGAGCACAGCACTAGCAGGGAACACGCAAACTCATGCATGTGTAATGAATTCAGTCCACTGTAGGCGAGCGTAGTGAGAACCCAAGTGCAGTTTTATTCAAAACAAGGTGAAATCCAAAATCCAAACAAGATACACAGACTTGACTTGACATGAACAGACTTGACGTGGCATGAACAGACTAGACTCACCTACAGCGGGTTACAGCTTCAATACACGACAAGAGACAATGGCAACATGATGGCTACTTATAGCAGACAAGGAGGGTCACATGACATGAACAAACC